GCTCCCACTTGCGGTGTGGCCTTGGGCTTCGCTTCCTGTCTCACACGTACATTTCCCCATCTGTAAACTGTGGGAATGCTGTTACATACCTGCCCACCGTGGGCCAGTTACCAGGATGAATGTGTGACAGTGTTCAGCTCAGCCTGTTCAGAGCTGGCACCAAACGTGTGAGTGTCCACGCGGGATGGTGACAGTGATGGTGCTCATGTGGAGAGGACCTTGACAGCGGGGACAGGGACATGGAGGCGGGGGGGGGGATGCAGATGGGGACGACGAGGCTGACAGACACGGTGGTGTGGGATAGGGTGGCGCTGTCCAGCAGTGTGAGGGTCCGAAATCACCTGGTCGTCTCCCGGGACCAAGGACAGGACCAGAGATGCACAAGCAAGCGGAGTTTATTGAGCCAGCTAGCTGGGGTCAGGCTTTCCTGCAGGCTCGCAGGCCACACAGGGAGAGCAAGACCTCGACCATCGGGATGTTAGAGAATATATAGGCCATTACATACGTCATAGCTGGTGCAAATTCAAAGAGTAACAGACCTCACAGCAGTAACAAACTTCACAGCGCTCAAGGACCGGTTTCCAAGAACAGATGTCTCAGTCATGAGTCAGAAGCTGATATCAGGGTCTAGTTTCAGCCGGTTCCAGGAGCTGGCGCCAGGAATGTTATCTGCCTGCCCTTCTTTCTGGGCCCGGGGAGAGTCAGAGACCTAGCCAGAGGGGCTTAACAGCAGGAGTCCTTCGATAGACCCACCACTCGCGGAATAAAGCTCCACACGTGTGACATGGCTGGCCAGACCCTCCATGAGCTGGTCTATCTCCTCTCCAGCCACAGGGGCCCCCGCACCTGCAGAGGCCAGCAGGTATCCTGGCTCCCTCACAGTTCTGAGCTTGCAGAAAGTTTCCCACCAGCGCCCAAGGGAGCTCACTCACAGAGGACCTGGGACACATATCTGACCTGAGCCAAGGGAAGCTGCTCCCTGGAGATGAGAGCAGGGAGCTCGCTCAGAGATGGACATGGCTCCCCCAGCCCAGCCAGGCAGCAAAGCAGCTCTGACCATCCTTGGTCACCACAAGTAGTGTTGTGGGCAGAAGCCCAGTGGAGTGTTTGGAGCTCTGGCCCAGCTCCTCAGTCTGACCCGGGCCATCAGGCAAGGCCCAGGGCTGCCTGGCGGCCAGCCGGAGCCGGCGCTGGTGACCGTGGCTGCTGGGGCTGGGCTCTGGGCACTTGTGCATCCCTACGAAGCCAGGGGCGGGGCAAGTGACTTGTGAAGCCCACTGTGTTCTTGGCGGGGTCTCCAGAAGCCCACCTGCTCCCTCTGCTTCTCGAACTTAACAGACAGATGCAAATGACATCATATAAAAAGGCCGCAGCTGTGTCCTCGCATGAGGGCCTTCGGGGCCTGGGCCTGGCTGTTCCCAGCCCGTCGCAGGCGCTGCCCTGCTCCGCTGGGCATGCCTCCTGCAGCGTGACCTCCCAGGGGCCTTGCCCCGAGACCCTTTTCATAGCGGCTTTGTAAGCTGTTGTTTGCCTGTACTCAGCTCACCCGCCCCAGAGGCTTTCAGTAAGGCCACTGGGTTGTGTAAGCACCCCTGTTCCTAGGCCAGGCCCACTCATCCCCCAAAGTGAAGCCGCCACCCATGAACAGATGCTCCCGTTCCTCCCTACCCGGCTCGTGGTCGCCGAGCTCCGCCCCAGGTTCGTCTTTCTGGGTGTTTCACTTAAGTGGCATCAGGCAGGATGCTCCTGTGACTGGCTTCTCGCAACTGGCTGGCACGGAGACCTAACACTTCATCACAGCGGGGAGCTCTGGGGCCCAGGCCTGGAGCCCCTCTCACCCTGGGGTCCTGGCCACATGGCCTGCTCCTCCCTTCCCCCTCACCCTTTCCCTCACCCACCCACCTTTGTCCAGAGTGTCATGGATGCCATCTGAGTGCCATCCGAGTGCCACACGAGTGCCATACGGTGAGCAGCAGTACAGTCAGCGAGCGCATCTCACCGTGGGCTGGGGAAAGACCGTGACCGTTACAAAGGGCAGCGGCAAAAGACAGGGCTCCCTGGACTCGGAGCCAGGCCCCCCCCATCCCCCGCCCCGCCACGTGGGCCCGGCCAGCTGCCTTCTCCGCATTTCTGTTTCTTCACCTGTAAGATGAGGATCCAAGTGTTGAGATAAAGCGCATTCACGCCCTCAGGCTGGGCACTCCAGCTCCCAGCTGCTCTCCTGACCCTGCCTCTGCTGGCTCTGCCCACCCACCCCACCCCTCCAGCCATGGGGGGGCCTTCCCCCCATTCAGCAACCCCACCCCACACCCCCCCACACACACACACACTGCTGTGCTGCTTCTCAGGCCCTCGCGGACCACAATGAGCAGCCTCGGGGCCTTTGCTCTCCTGTCCAAGGCCTGCACTGGTTTTCTGATCTGCAACTGGTTTCTTCTCACCCCAAGTTCTGCCTCTCCTCCCTGACCTCCCTAAGCACAAACCTCCCGCCCACCGTGTTCTGGGCAGCACACACAGGACCCAGCGGCTTCGTCCTTGGTGATGGCCCTCTCGTCACCAAGTCACAGCCCCCTGAGGGCTGGGGCGACCCCACGTCTTCAAGAAAAGGCGAAAGCTCTCTCCTGCATCATGTAGAGTTTTGGGGCTCACAGAAGCTTCTCATCTCAGGGCGGCGTGCTAGTAGAGCAAACGCTCATGGTGCTGAGGCCCTGATTTCCACAACTTACTCCCAGCCCCGCCTCCTGTTAGCCTCATGGGTCTACTAGGCACCTGCACTGACTGCAGATTATGTAAGAGGTTTTGCAAATGGGCCCTTCTGCCAAGTCACCCAGGGAAAGGTCATAAAGCAGCATCCACACCTTTGTCTGACCATCACAACATCCTGAGAGGCGAAAGGACATGTTGCTGGGGGAAGGAAGCGGGCCCAGACCTCCCCAGGCCCAGCTCTCACCCAGGGAGTCTTGAGGTGGCTGGATCCCTCTCTGCACCTGCCGGCCAGGCAGCCCCTGGCATAAGCTACTGATGTTGCCACAAGTCACATATGATATAGGCTTCTGCATCCACTCAGCAAATACTCACTGAGCACCTGCTACGTGGGAGCGCTGTGGGAGGTGGACTAAAGGCCTTCCCTGTGACTCACCTTCCAGCGGGGCACGAGGGAGGAACAAATGAGCCTGTATCCCGCCATTTACAAACACAGGCCACAAGAGAAGGAGGAGCGTGAGGAAGGGATTTACTGCAGGGGACGCCTCTGAGAGGGGCGTGCAGGGCCGGCTCCTGACGGCAGGGCAGTCGTCCGCTGTGGCTCCAGCATGCTCCAGGCAGGCCGAGGGAAAGGCCGGTCAAAGGTCTGAGGTGGAAGAGGGCAGGAGGCCGGGCAGCTCCCGGTAAGCCCCTAGAGACGGCGAGCAGGACTCGGGGCCTGGCAGCCTCTGTCCCTCCTAGTGTCGCTGTGCCTGGACAGACGCGTGGGGTTTCCAGCAGCGCGCTGGCTGGGCTCTGGGACACGAGGCCAGGGCTGCTGCCGCTGCCACGGGCCCTTCCTCTGGGTGCGGCCCCAGGCGTCCTGGGGGCGCTGTGTGCTGGTCCTGGCTGGGTCAGCCCTGGGGTCAACTTGGGGACAGAGAATTTTTTTTTACTTATTTATGCATACAGAACTGGGGTACAGGCCAGAGGTGCAGGGGCGGTGAGAGGCTTCACCAGTGACAGAGTGGGGAGCAGAGCAGGCTGACTGATGAAGCACACTGCTGAGGGGAGCAGCGGGCGGGTCAGGAGAGGTCTGCCTCGCCATGTGGTCACCTCCGGGGCAGGCGGGGATCGAACTCATGCTGAAGTGGCTTTGGCTTCTTAGTGCTGCGCTCTGACCCACTGCGCCACCAGGGAGGGCCCTTATGTGGGTTTTTCAGAGCTTCCCTGGTCTGTGGACGCCCCGGCCCAGCCTTTCCAGAGCGCCTGGCTCCAAGGCCGAGGCAGGTCATGCGCGGAAGCCGCAGTGCCCAGGACCCCCTCCTGCAGGCCTGGCGTGTGTGCGTGTGCCGGACTGTAGGGCTTGGTTCTCGGCCCCCTTGGTGCTTCACTCACCCTGGCCGCTCCACCCCTTGGGGGCTGCGCGCTCTCCTGCGGTGGCCCTCGTCACAGCTGGCTGCTGGATTGGCCTCCTCGCCTGCTCTGTCCACCAGACTGAGCCTGGCCCCCTGGGGAGCTGCCTCTGGCTCCCCGGCCCCCGCTGGCCCTGCGCCCCACAGGCCTGCAGAGCGGAAGGAGGAACACTCAGTCCGGGGCTCCGGCGGCCCCAGGGCTAAGCCCCAGGGGCCTGAGGGGTGCTTGTCAGGCAGGAGTGGGCGGGCAGGGATTTCCAGCGAGCACCTGTGGGAAGGCAGGAGGCATGAGGAGCCCCGGTCACCCCTTGGCGGGTGGCTCCACGAGTTAGCAGGACCCTGGAGGAGCCTGTGAATTTGAGGGGTTGGGCCGCCACCCTATAAGGCGACAACATTCAAGTGCTTCTGGAACATGAGTTTAGCAGCTGGGCAGACAGAAAGACGGGCTTCAGCAAGCAGGAAAATGGCCATAGTCCGTTGCTGTAGACCTCGGTGGATGCGTCCCGACGTCTCTGCTGCTGCCCTCCCTCCCCGCCCCCGCAGGTACCCAGGTGCCCGAGAGACTTTCTGCAGGTGCGGCTCAGGCCAGAGGGAGCTTAGCCAGGGAGGCGGCAGCGGGCGCCAAACTAACTCGGAGGGGAGGGCCAACCAGCCTGCAGAGCTGCCTGCTGTCCATCACAGACGTGGGGTTCCCCCACCTGGCCCTCAGCACCCCCAGATTTAGACTACTTCCTCGCTATGGACTCACACCAAGTCTCACACAGCAGGAGACACACCAAGGCCTGTCCCTGCCTAGAGGAGAGATAGCAAAATGTGCACTTCCCTCAGAGAACTTTCCAGCCCACTCACAAGGTGGGGCCCCACGGTCCAGGCCAGGCTGCCACAGTCATTTCCCGAAGCCACTTACTCAGCCCTCACTGGGGCGTGCAGGGCACGTGGTCTTCTCATACACAACTGCTCTCCTCACAGCCTGCCCTCCCGGGGGTGAGACCCAGCACAGACCCACCTCTGGCAGAACCGGCCCCGTGACCTCCAAGATGTGGCCAGGCTTCTGCCCAGGGAAGACACTGCCCAGAGGAGTACCGTCCAGCCCACACCAAAGGGAGAAAAAGGCCCTTTCTGCAAAGGGGATCTTCTGGGGGAACCCCAGCTACCTTGCTAATGGGGAAGAACTGAGATGGGAGCCTTTCCCTGGTCCCCAAATGAGCTCTACCACCTGGGGGAGAAGTCCTAGCCTCTCCTGGACAGAGGGGAAGGCCAGCTCCCTCCCGAGAATGCGCATCCGCTACTGAGCCTTTGAATCCTTACAATGTTCTTCCCCTGCCCTCCTACCACCCCCCTACCTCCACCCCAGATCCCACAATTATGAGCATCCGGCAACAGGAAAAAGCTACTGGGGAAATGTGAAGACCGGCCTGTCTGTCCCCACTGAGGCGTCTGTAGTAGGAAGGGGGGAGAGTTTCTGCTCCTAGGTGACTGAGAAGCACAAAGGAGCACCCATGAGACAGGGCTGAGGGCCAGCTGGAGGGGTCATCTTCCCAGAACTGAGCCTGGCTGGATGGTGGTTCTGTGCTTAGCGGGGAGCTTGAACACCTTAGATTTCAGGAGCCAAGACAAGAAGGTGGAAGCACTCACACCAGACTCTCCTTCCTGTCTGAACCCCAACACTGAGCTGTCTTTCTGCTATCTGCACGCTTCTAGCCAAACCGGCTTCAGAACTGCCAGGGAGGATTAGGAAAAGGGGCCTCTGCTCTTACTCAGCTCCAGAATTTGCATGCCTCAAATTTTCCCTCTTTTACGTGGTTGATTAATGGGGTCCCCACACACAGATTCTTGGCACCATCTTCTTTCCAACCCAAATCTGAATGTTCAAGCTCACTCTCACAAAAGCTGTATTCAGAAGCCCAGGGAACTAGGTGAGGCGGTCACTCAAGGTCACAGGTGCCCCCCGCAAGGCTGGTGGGCGCTCGGGGAATACAAGATCTGTTTGGGCCATGTTGGCTGAAGAACGTTCCCCGGCAGGAAGGAGAGCCCCGCTACAAGTCCCGAGGTGAAGGCGGAGATGGTAGCTAGCTGACTCACCTCTTGCCAACTCCAAAATTTTGCAAAGCACTTTTCAAAGTCTGGCTCACTTCTTCCTGAAAAACTCACTTTTCGGGTCATCCCCTGGATGACATCACCAGAGCAGGGATTTATGTAACTTAAGACCACTCGGTGATTTCCAGAACGAGAGACAGCTCCCGAGACAGCACTGCTCCTAGAGCCCCTGTCCAGCGTCCAGCTCCTCCATTTCCCACATAAGTGACCGGCTTCCTTTCTTCTCTTATGAAAGCTAAATATCGGCAGAGATCCTGGTTCATAGAAGAAAACAAGAGTCATCCTGAGCCTCTGATTTTGCAGAATTTTCAGATTTCTGTAAGTATATCTTTTTAAATAATTCTAAGTCTAGTTAAGAAGGGTGTGTTCCCTTGCCCACTTTGGATTTTAGTGGCTTTTCCAGAAAAGGAGGGGGGAGAGGGCTTGGAAGATCTGGGAGGGGACCAGAGACAACACCCGCCAAGGCCAGGCAGATGCATGGGGCTGTCTGACCCACAAATTCTGATTGGTAGACATCAGATTGGATTCTCCAACCCCCAGGACTGAGTCCAAGAGTCCATAAGGCCAGTAGCTGGCTGGGTCGCCTGGGCTGGAAGATGTGAAGGCCCTGTGGGTGCCTTCCGGGCCTGATGTCCAGTGCCGATGCTTCGGCCATGCTTTAGAACAGAAATTACTCTGAAGGCCCTTTTGCTAGAGCGTCCGTGTCTCCTGAGAAGCACACACTGACACGAAAATGCAAACATCAGGGAGTCACAGAGCTGTCGCCTGGAGCAGACTCACCCAGGGTCTCCTCTGCGTTTTTCAAACTGAACAAATACTGCTAGTAAGAGCAACAGCTTTCTGTGGAGCATCTACTCTGCTGTGCGATCAGAA